GTGGGAAGAATGTCTGTCAGGCCTCCACTGTGAAGACAGGCACTGGTCTACTGCCGAGAGAATGAGCCCAAGGGGTAAAAGGAAAAGAAAACCTGGAACCATTCTGTTTACCTCGCCCAGCTACGGTGAAACTTCTGCTGTTGGGGCCGGCGGAGCCCTGCACCCAGGCACTGGCGGCCTTCGCAGCAGGGACTCTCGCTAGTCTCATCATGTGAAAGCTTCCGAAGTGGAGGATCCCAGGAGCCTCAGAGGCCAGTAGCCTCAATACCTGTAATTCACAACCCCAAACCAAATGCACTGCCATCGAGTGGATGCCGTCTCATCGAGGCCCTCAAGGACAGGGTGGAAGTAGCCCTCCCTGACGGTTTCTGAGGGTGTAGCTCTTTACAAGAGGAGAAAGCCTCATCTTTCTCCCAAGGGGCGGATGCTGTCTTTGAACTGCTGACTGGCCACCTGGGCTCCTTTATTTTAAGCTGAGGAAAGAAAGCAAGATAAGACAAAACAAAACAAAAACCTGAACCCAAGATCAACTTGGGAGACAATGAACACGTGAGGACAATGACAGTCGGGATCCTGAGTTTTGCCTTTTCTCCACTGTCCAAACGTCCGGCCATGATTGCATCAGTCTGGAATAACATGGTCGCTCCTCGCCGTTCACTTCTCCTCCAGAGCCCAGGGCGTTCTCAACAGGGCTCAAAATAGCAGCTCCAGGTTCCTTACGCTGCCCGGCCCCCCTCACAGCCAGAGACCCACAAACTTGTCTTTTGCCTTCCCCTTCCCCTCATTTATTTCAGGCTATAAAATAGGGCCACCCCCCACCCATAGCCCACGGGAACTGGGAAATGCCAGCGCTCTATCGCATTGTTCGCTACCTTCAATCACAAGCGCAAGATGTGGTGGCGTCGACTCTGACCCACGGTGGTCTTGAGTGTATCCGAGTAGGACGACGCCTTGCAGGCTTTTTCAAGAAGTAGATCACCAGGCCTTTCTTCTGAGGCACCTCTGCTAGACCCCAAGTGGTCAGAGGCTGAGCAGATTACCTGTGTGCCCCTCCCACGGCCTCTGTTTGTTGGGCTGGCCAAGTTCTAGGTGCTTCCTCGATTGTCGGACCCTTCCGAGACTGCTGTGACGTGGGTTGTAACTGCTCTGCTTCCCCTTACACAGACGGGGAGGCTGTGGCCCAGAAAGATAGAGCCCCGTGCCCAGGCCCACAACTGGTAAACATGGTTAAGGAGTCAAGAGGTTCCACAAAGACGGGTTTCCTGATAATTTGCTTTTGTCTGTTTGGGAGCAAAACATTTGGAATGAAAAGACACAACTCAGTTACAGGGATCACAGCCCTGCCGGTGCTGTGATGTTCGGACGGGCACGGAGCTCTGGCTGCCAGGGCACTGTGCTGTCCTTGCCCTGCCTGCCAGTGCTAGCCATCATTGCTTCTCAGCTCTCAAAGGGCCTGCTTCTAGCATCTGCCTCGTGTGCACCCCAACCCCTAGTGCTCCATTGTGGCTTCTAACCCATTGAGTGTTGAGACATCAAACCACTTGGCACTGGTATTCTGAATTAAAAGAAAATAAAACCTTAGCTCTATTTCTTTCTGGCTTGTTAATACCTTCTTGGTGGTGGTGGTGGGGTGGGTGGGTGGAGTATGTAAAAATCATGGCAGAAAGCACCCGTGAGGGGCTGTACCACCAGTAACTCATTAGAGAATTTTTGCACTCCTTTCAGGTGTTAAACTTCTGGGCCATTACCAGGTGAGCACCAGCTGGATAATTGGGGTGTTTATGAGACTCTCATTTCACCCAGGTGCTCACAGGCAAGAGAGGACTCGGGTCCTTGCCTTTGCCAAAAAAACATGCCCAGAGTTCCATAAAATCAGCACCCACCAGGTTTCTTTTGACCGGGAGGCTTTGCCAGACCCAGGAAGCATTTCCAGGGGGCACAGGCCTCAGTTTCCTTTCACAGGCTGCTCGCCCGCCGGGAAAGCCCAGTCTGAGCGGCTGTGCCCATGCCCGCACAGGGCCCTTCCCTGAAGGGGCACAGCCCCCAGACTGGAGGAAGTGCACCCTTGCCCAGCCCCGGTCACACTCATACCTGGTTCCTCTTTTGACCTGGAGCAAACGTTTCTGAAATAGACTGCCTACACTAGAATGTAGCTAATGATCCACATCTCCGGCCTCATTAAATGGCTTGAAGCAGGGTCGAACGGGCAAGAGACCGCCATCCAACTAATCCCTTTCCGTAAACCCCTCTGTAACCTTGCGAAAATCGCTTAATCTCTCCGTGTCTCCATTGGTTCAATTCAATTCCCTCAGCTGTCTCCGAGGATAACCCCACCTGCCCGACTTCAATGCCCCGGCCACAAGCTAGCATGAAGCTGGCCGTTGGAAACATTATGAAACACTACCTACGCCTGAGAAGCAATGACAAAGCCGCTCCTAAGGCCTTGACTGCATCTGCAGCCCATGTCACTGTAAAGTCTGCACCTGCACAGACCAGAGAGCCACAAAGCACCTGCCGCCCCACCCCACCCACGCCCTTAACCTCAGAAACAGGCTGCAGGGCTTGCAACTAAAACCAGAAATAAACGTGGTTAGGAAACAAAAGAATCCCCAAAGAAACACTCCCACCCCGCCCAGGAGACCCACCCCCCGGTGACACCACCAGCAGGTCAGAACGGAACACCCAGGCTCCCTTCCTGGGCGCCAGGCCACTTGCTGCTCTGTGAAGCAGACTCCTTTAACTCCACGATCACCTTCCAGGCTCACATCCAATGGCTCAACTTCGGTAAACTCCACCCCATGCCCAGGACCCACCTGAAAATAAATCCCCGAACTTTAAGGCAGGTTAAAGATTCCAAACATCAAACTGCCCTGCATGAAACATCAAGGCTGTGATCCCATCAAAACCCTAACGGGCCACTTTGAGTGGCCACCGGGCTTTTGCTAAGAACTTTTCTTTGGTCCCCCAAATCCAAGGTCGTGGTCAAGGCCGGTGGCCTGGGTACTTTTAGTTTTAAACAGCAACCTCTTTCTTACATACCAGGCAGTCGTTTTATGTTCCAGAGGGCAAAATGGAAAACAGCAGAAAGTCAAGTCACTTCTGCTCAGGGTATGCTGTTTCCAAAAGCCCAAGCCAGGAGGAACTCTGCCTTGGTGACTCAAGACAAAACAGAACTCCAAGGCTCAGAATCCAGAATCACTGGAAACCTGGAGGGGTTAACGCTTGCCTCCAAGGCTGCAGTTTTCCCCATCTGTGAACTCCGGGCTAGCTGAGAAACCGGGAGAGGCTAAGGCTTTGCAGAATCCAAAGAAACAGACACTACATCATCTCAAGAGAGTCAAAGCCAAGTGAGACACTTCTCTCTCTCACCCCGTTAAAACAGAATTCCGCATTCCTCCGAGTCCCTTCACACTCACTCACTACCATCGAATGGACCTAGATATCAACCTAGAGTACAACAGGCCCCTGTGGGTTTCCAAGGCTGTAAGGCTTTACAGGAATGCTGGTTATGGGCTGGGAGATCAGCAGTTTGAACCCACAAACAGCACCAACAGAGAAAGATGAGGTTTTCTGCTCCCCTAAAGATTTACAACCTCGGAACCCACAGGGAGAGTACCACTGTGTCCAATGGGGTCACAAGGAGTCAGAGGTTTTTTTTGCTTTTTGAAATCTGTAGGGAAGCAGAAACCGGCATCCTTCTCCCTGGTGCACGTGAACTGCTGACATTGTCACGACACCACAAGGGTTCCTCAAACTCAAATACAAGCTCACTGCCACCAGTTCCAAGGCACAGCGACCCTCTATCCAAACTCATAGCGACACTATAGGGCAGGGTAGAACTGCCCTGTGGGTTTCCGAGACTGTCACTCTTTGGATGGGGGTAGAGCACCTCTGTGGACCTTATTGTTAGCAGCCAACAACATAACCCACTGAGCTACCAGGGCTCCTTAGAGCCCCTTGAAACTTACAAAACCATCTGTCTCGGACCTTGTGGTAGTCAGCAACCTGTCCTACGCTTCCAAGAGAGAAGTTTGTCTAGGCAATAAGTCCCACACCACTAACTGCAGACCTGTAATTCTTGGTCCACTGAGTCGTACTAAACCTTCAGAAAAATCAGCTTTCTCCAAGCCCAAGTGCTGACAGAGAATGTTCCACAAGGGGGTACCATCAACCAGCACACTTGAACCAGTTCCCCAACAGCTTTCAGACCCAGTGGGTAAGGAATGGGATTAAGATCTCGGGAGTGACTATATATCGGGAGTGATTATATATATATATATATATATATAAAATTTTTTTAATGGGGAAACAACATAAGATTACAAGAAGCCCCAAACAGGCTTTTTTCCTAAAACCCCATCCCACTTAATGGAAACACTGCTTCATGCTAACCAGGGACAGATTACCCAATAAGCATGGTATGGAACATTTCCTCATGGGTTTCATCAGCCAGGTAAGCACAGACTTCCTTGTGCTTACTTACTGATGTGCAATTGCCCACTACCAATTCGCAAACATAAGCCTGTGCTTAACCTCGAATTCTGGGCACTCCACTGCTGTCAGGGATTCTAAATTGGAAGCAGCTTTGCTTCTGTAGGAAGGTGCTGTGGGGTTGGAAGCAAGATGCCACCTGTATCTAGCAGCGGAAATCTCTGGTAGGGTGAAAAACTGTTCAACTGTTCACTACAAATTAGTTAGCATGCACAAGTAAGCCCGTGCCTACCTTGCTTAATGAGTTATCCAACACCGTGCCCTCACAGATCCAGCCCACCTGGGAGACATTGTCTCGTGCACCCTCGTTGTGGATGTTTGAAAAGGGGTGGGCTGGGTGCAAACAGTGCTATCCTGATACCGTCCCAAATGTTACATTAAGGATCTAATAAAGCCAATTCATAATTAACCCTTAGAGTATCTGATGGGCTGTGTGCTGCTGTGTGAGCCGGAAGGCAGGGAGAGCTGATGTGGCCCAGAGGCCCCTCGGTAAGGTGGGGAAGCATTACCTGGCTAGGTCAAGGAAAGAGTCCACCGTCTCTTTGGGAACAGGAGGCGGCCCGGACTCATCTAGCCCCAGATCACTAGACTGAAGAGTCTGCGCGCCGGAACCTGGCTGGATGATGAACGCCAAAGCGACGGCGAGCGCCGAGGCACCTAGCGTGGTGAGGCCGAAGTAGGCGACGGCGATGCCGCCCAGGCGCCCGAGGGAGCTGGCGTCCAGGGAGGCGGCGCCCGACACCAGGCTGCAGACTACCAGCGGCAAGATGATCATGCGCAGCATGCGGAGCAGCATCTCGCCCGGGAAGGCCAGATAGGAGATCTGCGTGCGGCTGAGTTCGAGTCTGCGCAGCCCTGCGCCCAGTCCCGCGCCGGCCAGCACTCCAGACACGGTCAACAGCACGAGTGCGTTGCGCCGGAAAAAAGCGCAGCGCCTTCCGCGTCCCGCCGCCTTCCCGGGGCTCCCGGGCCGCGGCTGGGCGCCGTCCAGGTAGCCGTTGGTTTCGCTGCCCTTCTCCATGGCGCTCCCCGCAGTTCCGTGCAAAAGGAAGCGGGGGTCCCGGGATCCGGGGAAATTCGGGGCTCTCCCAATGAATGGAGTTGGCTGGAGCGGTGGGGCAGGCCAGCGGTGCGCGGCGGATGCGAGGAGCCGGCTCGCTGCTCCCCAGACTTGGGCGTGGAGAGCGGCGGGAGAGCGGGACGGGGCGCAGCTGCCCAGGCTAGCTGCCCAGAGACCCTCGGCAGGGAGATGATGCAAGCGGGAGCCGCGAGAGCGGGCGCCGGGAGCGTCCCGAGCCTGTCCGCCTCCCACCCGGCGCCCCGCCCATCGCCCATCCGACCAATCAGCGCTCGGAAAGGGCCGCAGACGCCCCTCGTCTCCACCCCTGGCCGCCGGTGACGGCGCAGGGCTGCGAGCCCGAGCCCGTGCGCGAAACCGCCCGGGGTTGCATCGCAGACTCGTCCCACCCGGCTAACGGGGGCGAGCGGGGCGGCGCGGCTCTTTGGGACCTGCCGGGGCTGCTCAGGTCGGCGGTGTCTGGGCTCCGGGCCGGTGGGCCCGGGAGCTGGGGGAGGGGCAGGCCTCGCCAGGTTTGTTGCTGGCGAGGCACACGCACACACACACGCACACATACCCGCGTAGGGCAGCGCGCCACACTCTGCTCGGCCTAGAAATCCCTCGATGTGGGGTCTCCAAGACAGAATGTGCTTAGGGTGCGTTGCACAAGCCCAGGCCCCGCTGAAACAAAGGATGCATGAAGAATGAATGAAGGACTGGATGAGTGGGAGACGCCTCAACACCCCCCATGAAAGGCTCTAACAAAGCTTCCCTTGCAAGTGAAAGGGAGACCCTGACAACATCAACCTCAGCGCCTGGGTCGGGCCACACTGTGTACCAGAGGCACTTGGTACCGGAGGGCTTGGGGACACAGGGCAGCAGGGTGCATGCAGAAGACTCAGAGAGAAACGGAGCTCCCTTTCCACCGCCTCCAGTGGGGTTTCCACCACAGGGCCTCAGCTGAAACAGGAATCAAAACAAAAACCAAACAAAAACCCCAAGGGGCCCTTGGTGATAATGTGTTTCCCTTCAGGGTGCTAACCACAAGGTCAGCAGTTCAAAGTCACCAGCTGCTGGGGGTGGGGGTGGGGCATGGTTTGACCCGCCAGAAAAGATGGCTTCTTCATGCTTACATTCATTTTATTTTATTTTTACATCAACTTTTCTCTGACTTCAGCTGAGGCATGACAGATATACGAGAAAGCCCTGTGAGTCTTTTTACTGTAATGTTTATTATATACGTATATCCCCTTGTTTTGCTTTTGAAAGGAATAGTTCTTTTGACACTTCCTGAAAGGGAACTCGTGTGTAGATAATTTGAATTATGAAGAAAGACAATTTACTAAAGGTTTCCTGCTTAAAAAAATAAAACTATCTTAAAGCAGGTCACAACAGATATTTGTGTGATCAAAATACTACTGTAATGAACATTAAGGAGCTGGCCGCATTTTGATACAGCCAATCTTTCATTACGGGAAACACGGCAGCTGTTGGATGTAGCCTGTAGGGCTTTGGGGTGGGGCTGCCCAGATGAAAAGCTGTTCATATATATTTTTTTCTTCTGGTTTTGAAGAAGGCAATTTACGTCACTGTGTAATCACTGCAGACAAGCAGTCTATTTTGCCGACCAGCCCCTCCCTTTGGCTTGACTAACAGTTTTATGCAAAAGCCTCTCAAATCAAACGTCAAAAAATGAACTTCCAGTTGCCTACTTTACATCTCCACCCCCCCTGCAGGCATTCCAGCTCCACCTGTCCAAAAGGGAATCAGGGTTGCCTCCTCCCACCTGCTCCTCCTCTGACTCCCCTAGTTGGATTATCTCCCCATGGACCACACAGACACCTCTGCTTGAAGCCTCTAAGTGACCTTTGGTTCTTCCCATACACGCATCTTTCACAATATTTATCATATACACATCTCCGGTCTGTAGGGCACAGTTCTCATTTCTTCACTTCTTATCTGGAGTATTGCAATGTTCTCCTAATTAGTCTTCCAACCTGCAGGGCACCTTTCATGCTAACTGTCCCATGCTCTGCCTTGCCCAGGTGAATCTTTCTCATGAATAGTAGACATGTGAAAATGATGTGGTGTCTAAATAAACAATTTATAGATTATCAAGGGCTCATGAGGGAGGGGGGAGCGGGGAGGGAGGGGGAAAAATGAGGACCTGATGCCGGGGGCTTAAGTGGAGAGGAAATGTTTTGAGAATGACAAGGGCAATGAATGTACAAATGTGCTTGACACATTGATGTATGTATGGAGTGTGATAAGAGTCATATGAGCCCCTAATAAAACGATTTTAAAAAAAAGAAAATGATGTGGTGTCTGAGGGCCTTGCCTTGTTAGGGCAAAAGGGGAGGAGAGAGAAGTCAGAGCTCAGCCCAATGTGGATTCCTGTGAAGCGGTGGTCAGATGTTTGTTCTTCAACCTTTTCACTCATTCTGCTATCATCCAGCTCTCCCACCGCACCCATTCTTGACTTCTCTCTGCTGCATTCAATAATTCATCGCAATGGCCACCCGGAACTCATAGCCCGTACTCATCATTATGGGGTTTCTTGAGGTGCCGTGGCGGCCCAATGGTGGTGATTTAGACTGCCAACTACAAGATCAGTTTGAAACCGCCAGCCAGTCCTCCTGGGCTTTTCTGCTCCAGGAGAGAGGTACAGCCTTGGGAACTCACAGGGTGGCTAGGAGCAGGAATCAACTTGATGGCAGTGAGTTTGGTTTGTATTTGAAAATTGTTTCCGTGCCACGAAGTTGGAGCCACTGAATGAAACAGCGTGGTCCTGTTCTATCCTCACAGTTGCTGCTGTGTTCGAGCCCACTGTTGTAACCACGATGCCAATCCCTCTCAGCCAAGGTCTTTCTCTTCCTCCACCAAGTGAGACTGATCCGTGTATTCTTCTGGCAGTCCAGGGTACGTATATTCAACATGTTTTGCCAGTACCATTATTCAAAGGCATCAATTCTTCTTCAGTCTTATTTATTGTCCTGCTTTTACAGGCATGCATTTCAGTGGTTTCAACATAACTGTTTTAAAGACTTGTCCAGTGCTGTCTATTATTTGATGTCTTGACTACTGTTTTGATGCACACTGATTGTGGACCCAAGTAAAATCAAATCCCTTGACAATTTATCACGCTGTGGCTTATTGGTCCAGTTGATTGAATTGTTTTCTTTGTGTTGCCTGATAACCCATACCGCGGGCTGTCGGTTTATCTTCATCAGTAAGTGCTTCAATTCCTCTTTGCTTTCAGCAAGCAAAATTGTGTCATCTGGATATCTCATAGGTTGTTAATGAGTTTTCCTCCAATCCTGATGTCACTTTAGGGAAGTAGCAGATCCTACAATATAGGATCAGGAATGACTCAGGAGACAATTATTTGGTGTGGTCAGCTTCTCAGCAGTGCCCATAGGTCTCTCTCTTAGCCCCTTGACCGGGCCTCTGCCCTGACTAGTGTTATAAAGCTCCCTAGCTCTGCCAAGAGGGCAGATGTACCCAATCTGCCAGTAAGCTTTCTGTCCAAATGCATTCAGCTCTCTTATTCTGTGGGCCAGGAAGTCCACTACACCATCTCACCCTATTCTCATGCTTCTGCTGCTGCTGCTTCTCTGCCACTGAGGCTCTGCTTGCTGCCTGCCTCTTCTTGCTGTTTCTCATTGTCACCAAGCCATCTGTTGCTGTCCTAAGTGTTCCAGTTCTCTCTGTCACCTGGGTCTAAGAGGTTCTCCGTGCAGGAACCTTGGTTCCAAAGGACGCGGTCCATTCCTGGCTCTTCTTAATGGTAGTGACGCCCTCCCTCCCACCTCTGGCATTGGTTCCCTTTATGTCTAGTGGAATAGTAAAACTGACCTATCAGCTTGTTAGAGGTCCATATGCCTTATTTGCATGGACCCAACCCGGCCAGGATTCCATGGACTTTATATGTATTATTCGCAGGCTGTCCAGTTCCCTTGGTGAGCCACAGGGCCTGTTTTTGCATAGTTCTACCCAGTTCTTGTTCGAGTCACAAAGACCATGGCTCGAAGAATCACATTAAAGTAATTCACTCTACCACAATACAAGTTGAAATTAAATCCTGCTACCACACAGGAGCAAAGGAGAGGACTAATTAAGGGCCTGACCTTCCCCTTTAAGGCTCATTCTAGGATTTGCAATACACCATTTCCCTTAGATCTCATCAAGTCAAATCTAGCTACATGGCCACATCTAGCTGCAAGAGAGGTCAGGTAATGTCATCTTTATTTTTGCTCAGGTTCGTGCCCAGTTAAAAAATGGAGCTTGTGTTCCTCAAGGGAAGATTGCTGCTGGCACCACTAGCAGCCTTCGTCCTATCACTTTTTGCTCAGTAGCGTTCAGTGGCTTCCCCTTAAATTTAGGGTGCAGGCATCATCCGGGCATTCATTCTTGCCTTCAGGGCCTGCCATCCAAGGCCAGCAGACAGCTGTGCACTCTGCACATGCAGCAAAAATGGGATTGTGAGTTGCTACTACGTATTTTATTTTGCCTCCATCTAGTCACAGTTCAGATAGCACTTCTCTCTCCAAACCCTTTTTTAATCGCTCTTGCCCCAACTCTGCTCGCAGCCCATAGCGTCCCATGCTGTTCGCCTGCTACCTCCATGGTCAACATTCGATTCAAAGGGGGAAGGTCCTCCTTGTGGTAGGCTGAGCTTTTTCAAGAAACTGAGCCAGTGACACTCATCTACCCTGTTTCCCTGAAAATAAGACCGTGTGTTATATTAATTTTTGCTCCTAAAGATGCGCTAGGTCTTATTTTCAGTGGATATCTTATTTTTCCATGAAGAAGAATACGGTACACATTTATTGTTGAACAACAAAAAAGGAAATGTATTATCTATATACGGTACGGTAGTAGTTGTCATCACAAACCAGCATAACCAGACAAACTGTGAATCTTACAGTATCAAGAATTTCTTGTTACTACCATTATTTCAGGCACAACAATCATGGTACATTTACTCATAATCTATGATACATGTACTCACACTTCCTGTCTGCTCCGGCTGCGCTGCGGCCAACAGTGAGCTGCATGGCGGCGACCGCTGCTACAGTCTAGAGTCCAGAGTTATGGTAGCTTTGTGGGGGGGGTTATTATCGGGGAGGACTTATGTTCAGGGAGGTCTTATTTTGGGGGGATGCCTTATATTTCAGTGAGAG